GGCAGCTTCGGCAAAACCCTAACGATTCTGGTGCCCCCCTCGAGGAGCTTAAGGCCTTAAGGAGTGAAATCTCTGCCCTAAGTAAACAAGTCGAGCGACTCTCCCGCGGAAAAAACGAGGAATAATTTCCCCCGGGATCAACATAACAAAGCACGTAGTTTTTCGCGTGGGCATTCCCGAGAGCGTGTGAACAATTATTGTTATTTTCATTCGCGATTCGGTAGTATAATGCACGAAAATGTCGAGCACCTTGTTCCTTTTCTCAGAACACTACGGCCCAGGAAAACTAGTAGTAGCGGCTATCGATCGAAATTCATCGGCAGTCGCGCATTCATGTCGTTTACATGTTTACGATAACAGATTAAATTTAAACTTTTTGATTGATTCGGGCTCGGATGTTTCATATGTGACACCGACTTCTAAGTTTAGGAAAATGCATCCTGATTCGCTTCAATTATTTGCCGCGAATAATTCCAGAATTTCTACGTATGGAACAAAATTGTTAACTGTGAGTTTAGGACTTAGACGAAACTTTTCTTGGAAGTTTTTAATCACCGATGTACCAGTGCCTATAATAGGAGCCGACTTTTTAAGGCATTTTGATCTTTTAATCGATTTAAAACGAGGTAGGCTTATCGATAATACTACGAAATTAACTCGTATTGGTTCTCTTTCCGATTCTAAAAATTATTTTTCGGTAAAGTTAATATCTGGTGATTCACCATATCACAGAATCTTGAAAGACTTTCCTAAAGTACTGAAGTTAAAATCCGATTCGTGTAGAGTAAAACATAGTACGGTTCATTACATCGAAACATACGGTCCTCCTGTGCACAGTAAACCGCGTAGGTTAAGCCCTAAGTTATACGAAGCAGTAAAAAAAGAATTTCAATTTATGATAGATCAAGGTATTTGTAGACCATCAAAATCAGCATGGTCATCACCTCTTCATGTAGTTTCTAAAAGTTCGGGCGACATACGGCCAGTAGGAGACTACCGAAAACTAAACGCGTGCACCGAACCCGACAGATACCCGCATTTACGACTTAATAATACGCGGAAAGACAATTTTTTCAAAAATTGATATCGTTCGGGCATATCATCATATACCAGTCCATCCAGATCATATACCGAAAACTGCAGTTTGCACCCCATTTGGTCTTTCGAATTTCCGTTTTTAAATTTCGGACTGTGCGGAGCAGCTCAAACCTTTCAAAGGTTTATGAACGAAATTCTTGGAGATCTAAAATTCGCCTACGTCTACTTAGATGATATTTTGATATTTAGTCATACGGAAGATGAGCATAAATCTCACCTACGTACTGTTTTTGAAAGATTAACTTCATATGGATTGACAATTAACGCTTCGAAATGTGTTTTCGGCGTTCCGGAAATATCTTTTTAGGCCATATAATCAATAAAGATGGTACCAAGCCTCTGACGAACAAAGTGGAACCGATACTTAACTACCCACTTCCTAAAACGGTAAAAGATTTGCAGAGATTTTTAGGATTTTTAAATTTTTACCGTCGATTTTTACCCAACGTAGCCCAGAATCAAATACATTTAACTTCGTATTTAAAAGGGGCTAAGAAAAATGATAAGACAATCCTGAATTTGTCTGAGGAAGCGCGGAGTGAATTTCAAAAGTGCAAACAGCTAATCGGTAATGCTGTTCTTTTGGCACACCCGAAGAAAGATGCCCAGTTGGTTTCACAGGTTGATGCGTCAGACTTCGCGATCGGTGGAACGCTATCACAAATAGTTGATAGAAATTTACAGCCTCTCGCATTTTTCTCACGAAAGCTTTCGCAGGCGGAAAGGAACTATAGTGCGTATGATCGAGAGCTATTGGCAGCTTATGCTGCTATTAGGCATTTTAAGCATATGTTGGAAGCACGGAACTTTTCTTTAATCACCGATCACAAACCGCTCACGTATGCATTCCGACAGCGTTTGGATAAGTGTTCACCTCGTCCGGCTAGGCAGTTAGACTTTATCTCACAATTCACCACTGAAATTCGCCATATAAAAGGTTCGGAGAATATCGCTGCCGACGTACTTTCGCGTATAGAAGCAATAAGCATGCCTAACCCTATCGACTATGAGGAAATCGCTAAAATGCAAGAAATCGACCCAGAATTACAAACATTGCTTAAAGAGTCAAAAGTTCTACATCTCAAAAAACCTTACCGAATTGTAGCTTTTCGATATATTGCGATGTGTCAACAGGTAACGCCCGTCCCTTACATTCCTCCGGCATTCCGTGAGAAAGTTTTTGCCACCTTGCACAATTTGTCTCACCCCGGCATTCGCGCATCAACAAAGTTAGTATGTTCACGGTTTGTTTGGTCTTCCATCCGCAAAGATTGCGCGAAATGGGCACGGCAGTGCATTCCGTGCCAGAAAGCAAAAGTTAAGCAGGCATACTAGAACCCCGTTAATGAAGTTTCCAGACCAATCACAGAGGTTTGATCACGTCCACCTTGACCTTGTTGGTCCCCTACCTCCTTCTCAAAATAATTATTACTGTCTAACTATGATAGATAGATTTACTAGATGGCCCGAAGCAGTACCCATACCAGACATAACAGCACGCACAGTAGCACAGGCTTTCTATGACCACTGGATTACTCGATTTGGTTGTCCGACTGTTATTACTACCGACCAAGGGCGACAGTTTGAAAGCGGCTTATTTCGAGCCCTTTCCCAATTATTGGGAATCAAGAGGATCAGGACGTCTCCGTACCACCCACAGGCGAATGGACTGATCGAGGAATTCCACCGTCCTTTGAAAGCTGCCTTAAAAGCGCACGATACCAGTGACTGGGTGGCTGCCCTTCCAACGCTGCTGATGGGTTTCCGCGCCGCTCTCAAAGAGGACATAGGAGCAACCACTTCTGAACTGGTGTATGGAAAGACTATCCGTCTCCCAGGAGAATTTTTCAATCCGACACCTCCGGATGCGTCCCCCAAACAGTTTGTGGAGGATTTAAAATCTCACTTTGCCAGTGTCCGCCCGACCACGACTTCTAGCCACGGCCAGCGAACATGTTTCATTCATCCACGCCTTCACAAGTCCACATATGTGTTTGTTCGACACGACGGACGGAGTTAGAAAACCACTTCAAACTCCTTATGATGGACCATTTAATGTGCTAGAAAGACGAGATAAAACGTTTGATCTCGAAATAAAAGGGACTAAGCAAACGATCTCCATAGATAGACTGACAACCCGCTTTTGTAACCATGGACTCTTTTCAAGTTGCTTCCAAGAGTGTGAAAAAAACTTCGGACATTTGTATCACCCGTTCTGGACGATTAATCCGACCCCCGCATCGGTATGTCACATTTCGTTGACACTGCGGAGGGAGTATGCAGCGGCAGCGCCAAACAGGCGATACGGACTTAAAAACTGTACAGAAAAGCGCCAATTGGCGAAACAGTAAACCCGTTTGGCAAACATACAGGCTGACGGGGAGAGAAGAATTTTCCCCGGCAGTCAAGGGGAACTACTTCAACAAATGTGTGCGTCTCTGTTTCGCCGAGATATGTGAACTTGTGTACTCGCATCTGTACTGTGCTCTGAATTTCTTAAGCCGTTATAATGTACCCGGCAACTGTTACTTTTCCTTATTAAATTTGATTATTAATTGTAACATGTCTATCTTAACTAAGATTTCGGCTTTCCTAGTTAATGTTAGGGATATTTTCGTATGCACGTGTTACTCACACGTACATCAATACAATTGGCAGATCGCAGTGAACTCACGAAAATCTAAGGCGATCTTTTATCCGGAAAAGTAGCTTGGATAAATATGCAAATAATTTCTACATTTTTGATGAAACAATGATTTGGAATAAAAATCTGTCTTAGTCTACTGCCTTGACAGCAAACTAACCTTCAAAAATCACTTTAAAAAGCCAAACAAATTCAATTATAAAATTGCCAATATAGGACCTCACCTGGATTGGAACAGTGAACTCCACCGGAAGAGTAGTCATTCCTTACAAACTATGTCTTAAACCTGCACTTCTGTATGCTTTTATTTTTGTGGAGTTATGCGCCCAAAACACACGTTTACAAAATTAAAATACTTCTGACAAATTACACAGGCATGCACTTTGGTTCATTAAAAACGCAGTTACCATAAAGACCCCTAAACTGAGTGCATGAATAATTGTATACTGCCCCCCCCCCTCGAAAAAAAAAGACCTATTAACTTTCCCATGAAACATGACCCGAACTTCAAAAACGCAATTTAAAAAAAAAAAAAAAACTAACGTCCGGCTAATAGCATTGTTACTTAATATTCCCACCTAATTTTTATTAAATTTGTTTGCTACTAGATGGCGCCATGACATGAACCGTCGATTATATTAAAACTTGTAATTCAAACCGGAATTAGAGGCCAGTTATGATATTTTCTTGTTACCAGGCCACTAAGAACTTGATTGTTTTTCTCTACGAATGAAATTCTGCTCAAGCTTTATATTTCACAAGATGCAAAGGAGGCTTCGCTTCTGTTACTTTACGTATGCTGAAGTCTATTTGGAAGCGGGATGTCAAGGCTGAATTAAAAATGAGGGAAGCGGCGTTTCAACGCCTTCAATTCTTCGGAACATGTATATGATATTCATTTATGGAGTGTCCTAAAACCTAAAGTTCTACCCTCTTTCTTGTGAATGCCCAGTCGGTAATCATTAGAGAATAAGTTAGCAATCTTAAGAGAATAAGTTTGTGATAATCGGTAACATTTTACAAACTTAGTTTCCGATTTGCATGCTTATTTCTGATTTTTTTTTTTTTTTTTTTCTAAATTTTTTTAAGAGTTTTCAGCGAATATTTCCATTTTTCTGGGTAACCATCCTTATGCGATTAACGCAATGGCAAGGACCTAATCCGGCGTCGGTTTGAACTATTCTATCTTGAAACGCATTTTAAATTATTAAAAAAATTCGCCGCCAAACCCGCGATGAACATTACTTTCTAGATTCCGTTAAACATCTCGAATTATTTACGTCACCCACTGGAACATTAAAAGTGGCCATCAAATTACAGAAATCGCTGTTGTCATTTTCAAAAATGGAAGGCAGTCTCATTCACAGAAGAAATGAAAAGATTTCGGATTCCGACGAGAGAAGTAAGTTCGATTACATTACGCAAGTATTTTTGCCGTGTTCAGTTCGTTTGCTCGAAACAAACGCTGGATGACGCCACTAAACAAATATCGCTTATCGTAGCTTGTTCTTAATGAATATGAAATGGGAGGATTTATTCGAGATTGTTTTCTCATGTTCATTTACGTGTGAAATATTCTTTTAGGCAAATATTAGCTACACTTAGACTTTTTTAATTTTCTGGCTTCTTGTTAAGTTGAGCTTTTTTCTGAGAATATGTTCTGGAAAGTAATATTCAGAATGATAAAATTATTTATTTTGAATGATTACTACCGAAGCACAATAAAAATAATACACTTTTAATGTCTAATATCACTTGCCTATTTTTGATCGGATGTGGCTAATAACAATAAAAGATTTCTGAATCGTTTTCAAACAGCGAAACGCAGTAGGAATTGGCGTAGGTATAGGACTATTCATGTAAACGATTAGTGCACCATTTCGGAAAATTGTACATCAAAACCACATTGTTTAGACGGAAGCAAATTATTTAATGGAAATAATTTAGGTGGAAGCTTGTAGCTATTTCTGTTTTGTTATTGGTATCCGTTCATTTGCCGATTTTTCAGCGTTCTTCCATTTTTTACAATACTTTCTTAGATGATAAAATTTTGCTGTTTTGTTTCGGAAGAAATCTATAAACTTGCTGAACTATTGTTTGTTTTGTCATCATCAACTGAATAAACTAGCTGAAGTCTAGTGGTAGTGATGAGTTGTTTGGAATGGGCATGTATTCACGAATGAATGCTTTTAAATCGAAAAACACATTTTTCTTTCAATTTTTTGAAATTTTTAAGGCTTGTAAAAAACAATGCTATTTGAAATTAAATTCTAATTTTGTAGTTGTTCAATAATTAAGCTTATACAGGATGGTATAAAATAAAATAGAGAAACTTTGCCAATATATGAACCCCAGCGGTGTATCCGCTCAACTGTGTCCACCAGCTGCGGAGAGGTAAAGTCGCTGAACACTGATAGTTCTGCCTGGCATTTAAATTCCTGAAAACGTGCTGGCTGCATAGACGTTTGTGAGTTTTTCCCCATGTGTAACATGTATATAATCCAGTTTGCTTTAGAAAGTCCTTCACGAAGGCATCCCTTCCCTAACGCAGATAGCCCTCGAGTGTTTGGCCATAATTAAATAAACTAAACCTATCCTAAAATATTAAATGGCAGGTATTGTTATTTGAAGATGTACCTTCGATGATGATTTAAACAATAGAGTTCTCACGATTGTAGTTACAGTCAGAACTTTTCGAAATTCTTGATTACCAACACCAACTTTATTCCTGCGCAAATTCTTCAGCTTTCTGGGCGTAAAACATATGTGCAAAAGAGCATTGCAAAGGACGAAATACAGCACAAGAAGGGAAAACAGGTTTTTATTGCATCAATTTATCTGAAAAATATTTGGCAACGAAAATAAAATTTACAGGTGGTTATTGCTTCATTTTACTAAAAATTGTGTGTCGATGAAAATAAGTTTTACAGTATAATAAAATATAAGTATATAAATTTTATTTGTGTTACTTCATAAAAGATTTATTTAATGCAATAATATTTCTTTTGTGTTACCGGTGCCATCCGTGAACTTCCTACTGATCACAAAATGATGTCTCTTCTCCGCACCAATGAACAATAAGTTGTTTGTAGCTGAGAACGATATTTTTAAAATTATCAGCACATAATAAGGAATGTTCATTCAGGGAATTTTGGTTAGATTTTATGCAGTTGCGAAATCGCTCATTGTGTAATTATTCTAAAGAGAGTTTGATCTATTAAAGACTGAAGACTATTTGAATGGCCTGCATATCTTATGCCAAATATTATTCATTACTTACAATGTACTCCATTTTTAATTTTAGAATAAGACGGCCAAGAGTATTTATTCAACGACATCTTACGGTCGGTAGGAAGTTCACGGATCGCACCGAAAACACGAAAGCATTAAATAAAAATTATATAATAAAAATAAAATTTATATATGTATATATTTTATTTTTATCATTACTATATAAATTTTATTTTTCTTAACAAACATTTTTTAAATTGGAACATTAAGCGCCTATAAATTTTATTTTCGTTGACAAATATTTTTTAGGTAAAATGGCGCAGTAAACGCCTGTTCTTCTGCATGAGTACCAGTCATATTCTTAAAATATATTCAAACACAGATAAGCACCACGCATTAGCAAGTGGGTAGTACGGAGGCGAGGCAACTTTGAAACGCATCTAAGGCGGAAGCTTGACTCAGAATGATTTCGTTTTGATTTACTTTATTTTGATTGCTTAACACGTTCGCTGCCGTCTACAAGACTGCTTCTCCTGCAAGTATATCCGCGGAGCAGACCATTCGCCAGGTTCAAATCCGGGTCGAACTACCAGGGTTTAGCTGTCTTCACCATGCGACCACTAGATGGCTATAGTCAGTGAGAGAATTAAAAAAAAAAAAAAAAAAAAAAATGCATTATTAACTTCGCAACCCGCATTCAGCATTTGTTTGTTGCATAGGTTGGTTTGGTTTATGTAATTATAACAAAGTAATTCAGGGCTATCTGTCTAAGGGGAGAGGTGCCTTCATGGAGTACTTTCTAAGGAAACCTAGCTCGTATCCACGCTGCACGTAGCGAATTCATGAAAACGCGCATGCTGCAGTTCGCTCGCATGGAATCGAAGTCAGGTCGAAATATGAGTGTTTAGCAACTACAAAAATTAATAAAGGTTAGAAATCTGACGGACCGCTGGTGAGCCTATTGTATAGAAGTTATGCCTCACATTGGATTTCTGTTAAATTTTTTACTTGGTTAAAAATGAACTATGCATACATGTTAACTTAATCAGCTGATGTAAATAAAATAGCGTAATCAAAATATTTCTGTGTAGCATAATTTTCATCCTAGTTTTCGAACATATATAATATCTGTATTTAAAACTGAGATTGATTCAATGAATGTTATAAATTTAATATTAAAGGTTTTATATTTTGTCTTCTAACATTTGGGTGAAGAAAGTAAAAGAAAATATGAATCAATAAAGATCTTTTAAAAAATGTTTGTATTTATAAAATGTATATCCTTTTAAGGTGAGTCAACTCCAGCAGCGAACTATTCATTTTTAAGGGTAAAAAAGGATTTATAATAAAATAAAAGCAGCGAACTATTCATTTTTAAGGGTAAGAAATGATTTATAATAAAATAATTTATTGTTTTATTTTATATTCAAACGAAAGTACGCTATATTTGAATGATATGTATTTACATTGGCAGTGAATAAGGTACACAAATATTTTACCCACGTTCAAATCCCGGCGAATACGCTAGCATGAGTATTTTCGTAATTGAGCATTTGTGTAATGTGAATCGAGGCAGTTTTTCCTTAAATTCCTCCATGGTAGCACTTTTTTATGTGAGATAGATAGCCTTCTCATATTTGGCCTTAATTAATTAACCAGACAATTAGAAATGCGCAAGTATTGATAATAATGGTTTCGATGTGTATTCAATGAAGCAGTTTGATTATAAAATCTGAAGAAAGTATTTAATTGAAAATTTAATTTTATTTGAGGTTACGTACTTCTTTTAATCCCACCTTTTTAAAGTCCATCTTTTTACGTAAAATGTAAAGTTGAGCACATTTTTTTGGGAAGGGGTGCGGCAAATTTGGCAATATTTCTAGAATTTTCCCCTCTGCGTAGAGAAATTTCATCATATACCTACACTTTTTGTAGGTGCTTGCGAAATTTTCTAAATTTTAAGCATATTTATTTTAATTGGCAATAAAAGGAAACTATTCATACTCATTTTTCATACCCTGTAGCATTTAAATAATGTTTTTTACCAACGAATTTTCGCGATCAGCATTTTCATTTCTGTCTTTCTGAACGTAGTTTGTCATAAATAATCAATTTTGGCTGTCCTAAATAAAAACCATTTTTCACAAGCATTAATAATGCTATGCTTTCTCCGTTGGTTTTTACAGATGGTCCATTTTGTTTTTCCAGGGGACATTTTTATTATCGTAAAAGTATATGCAACACTTTCATTGGAACATATGCAGATTTTTCCGCCCATATGCATATTAGTTAGTATGCAGTATATTCATATTCTCTTTTTATATAACGCTTATATACTTTATCGAGTGCATTTTTATTTATAATTAGCAGCTTCGCTGCCAGCCTTCGTCTGACTTTTAAATGTGTCAGGAAAATGCCTGAGGGGAACACCAAACGTTAAATTTTTAAAAACTGCGTAGAATTTTACTCTGCAGAAAAACTTCATAAAAAAATTATTACGTATAACAAAATTACAATGAAATAAGCAATATCCCTTAATACAAATATTAATTATCATAATAAATTAACCAACTTCCCTTTTGGCAAAATCTTAAGAACTCAAATGGTATAAAGGAGGTTAAGAACTCATTTTCCTAAAAAAATCACTCAAAACTTTTCAACATCTTAAAAACAGTGAAATGAACAATAAATAACATAAAAGAATACAAAAAACAAAAAATTCTGAAAAGCAAAGTATAATTAATGATATTTTATCTTATATTTTCAAGAGAAAAAATATTACAATGAAATAAGCTATATCCCTTTACAAATATTAATTATTCTAATAAAAAATTAACCAACTTTCCGTTGAAGAAAAAAAAAATCATACAAAACTTTTCAATATCTTATAAACAGTGAAATAAGCAAAAAATAACATGAAAGAAACTCAAAAAAAAAAAAAAAAAAAAGTCCGCGCACAATTTTACTCTGCAGAACAACTTTATAAAGAACATCAATAAAAATTTATTATATATATAAAAAAATGACAATGAAATATGCCAATCTCTTAAAAACAGTGACATAAGAAATACGATGAAAAATTGTTGCCAAACCCATATTTCTAAAAGAATGAAACTATTCAAAATGATGCGATTTCATCAAAAATCTATCAACAACAATAAGATAGGAAAATTGTTGCCAAACTCACATTTTTAAAGATGTGAGAAGTGTACTCGGAAGCTTCATTTAAAATTTTTTTAGAAATACAAAATATTATCATTTTTCCTAAATTCTTTTTGTAAAAGCAGTAGCAAGGATGAAAGTTTAACGTGTCCAAAAATCAAAGAAAAATAAACTGTACATTTTAAAATATAAACGTTTTTAGAAAAAATCCCCTTGAGAAGGTGTTAAGCTCACTTTGTTAAATAAATTCGTATTTAATCGATTTATTGAAACACGAAATTTATTTTAAGTTCGTAAAATAGCCAAGTGCCTAAATTTCATGATGATGTGAAAATGGAGTGCATAGAGTAAAATCTCGCTTTCCTATAGCCCATTATGTCTAAAAATGACGCGATTTCGTCACAAAACATAAAATAAAAATAATTCGAATTCGAATTTCGAAAAAATCGCTTCGAGGTGCACTGGCTCTTGCACCTATGTACCAAATTTCGTAGCCGTGGGTCTATTAGCTTACGCGCAGCGCGAACGAAAGACACACACACACAAAGAGACAGACTCTTTCTTTTATTATATGTATAGAGATAACAAAAATAGCTGTGAGAGCGGTTTGGAAGACTAAGGAGAGTCAGATGAAGAGTGTATAAGTTTTTCTCCCGCTTTCTTAGCGTGCCTTCGTGGTGTAGTGGTTCTGCACGCTAAGCCGGTATTCCAGAGGTCCGTGGTTCGATTCCCGCGAAGGCAGTTGCTAATATTTCATCTCTCTGGCTTTTCCAATTAACCTAATGTCTCTACAAGTGTGACGTAAAAAACGGTACACATGCCTTAAAATACACCTCCCAGTTAAAAAAATTCATGATAATTATTGATGACATTGAATGATGTAGTATTGTCAGTGGGTTTAATGTTCACGTGAAAAAAAATGCTTTGAATGCAGATTTTCAAACAAACCCGTGTAATCGATTATTTTCAATAAATTTCTATAAGTAGGTACATTTTTACAAAAATGTTTCATACATTTTTGTAATAATTAAACTTTTTTAACTAAGGATATTCATTAATTTAAAATTCACATAAATACCTGTGTTTAACTAAGGATATTCATTAATTTAAAATTCACATAAATACCTGTGACTTTGTTACTTAGATATCATTAATTTTTAGCTTGATACAACATGAATTTACGATTAAATTACTTTTTATTAATACACCATTTGAAGGAAGACGCCTTTTATTTAAGGGACAAAATGTATCGTGGACATCCTTTATTAGGAGGTACTACTGTATATATTATACTTATTATTATTATTTATAATAATTTTGGATATAACATTCACTGTTTGTATACTAGACGACTTTCCTGTTTGATATTGACCAAATCTAAATCTGTTAAAATTCCTATTAAAGAAAAATACGAAGTAATTTTTGTATGTTTGTATGCATATCTCAACAAATTCATGATAAAGAAATTTGCATCGTACAAAATGAAATTTTGAATTAATGGAAAAACTATATTAATAATTCTACTTGTGGCACTAGTAAAATCTTCCGATTTTGTATCCTAAAAAAATTCTTAAATAACCTTCCCTGGGAAGGAAGAAAGATGTATGTAACACAACTAAAATTCAAAATATCTTGTTTGAAACCTATAGGAGCATTAAAGTTGTTAATTAAAAGCATAATTTTCCCACATTTGATTTAAGTTCCTAATTAGTTGGTGAACATCAGTATTTAAGTAATTTTTTAAACAGATAATGAATGATTATTTATTACTACAGTAATAAGGCACTTATATATTCAGTCATTGAATTACAATGCGCTTTTAAATTGGTAAACAAATGCGGCAAATCTAGTTTCTGCTATTTTCTTTTCTGAATATTCGAATGGTATATTAGCATATAAAATATCGATACAATAGTAAAATTCGAAAAAAAAAATTCCATTAGACGGAATTCTTTATAGTATGCCTCATTCAACGTATTCATGTTTAAATGCCTGACTGGAATGCAGAGAAATTTAAAAATGCTTTTCTTTTAGGTATTTTTAGAGCAAGAAAACGTGCACGGTAAATATAATCTTCATTTTGTAAAATGATATGTACCAGTAAATTCTATATATGCACTAGTAAGTTTGCATATACAACATAACGAAACATATTTTATGCGTAGGGCGTACACCAAGTTCAGGAAATTTATTATAAGTACGAAATGAATGCCATAGACAAACAATGGCTTTTAATATAAATTGAATTTCTTATTTTCTGTTGTGGATTACATTTTACGGCATTAACGACTTTGGCTGTAAAACTGAAATATGTGCGCATAACTGATATGCGGTCACACTTGTCCATATTTCTTTTAAGGCTGAAGAGCCTAGACGAGCGGAGCGGCAATTGCAGCCTCAACTCTCCGTGGGCATGCTTTCGGGAAGTCTTTGACTGTTATTCGAATTTTCTTCCACTCGCCTAGGAGAAGACATGCAAGTTCCTTCAGCCGATATTGGACGGTTGTTGCACCTCATAATTCGGCTATCCAACTCGTCTTAAAGGTTCTCGATAGCGTTCAGGTCTGGGCTATGTGCAGGTCAATTCATTCGGTTAAGCCCATTGTCAATATACCAGTTCATGGTGGAACTCGCAACACAACAGCTGAAGATGTCCTGAAAGTAACATAGGTCCAACATGTAAAACTGCTACAACTTAGGAAGCGCATTGTCATGCAGAATAGTGCAGCCGGCATCGGTGTCGCGTTTACCATCAATTTGGACAAAGGGTTCAGGTCATACTAGGCGAAACACGCCTTGATCATAATTTCACCTCCGCTGAAATTTAGTGTGGGCTCTGGCAGGAGGTGTTCTTTAGGCAGACGCCAGACGCGGACCTTGCCATCTGAATGGTAGAAGGTGAACCTTGCTTTGTTGCTCCATAGAACTCGTTCCCATTGTCGGCGTGCTTTGCACCACATTAACCAAGGAGCGCTGTTGGACTTGGTGATGCTTTCGGCATCAAAGGCTTATGGGCAGCAGCGCGATCATGAAAAGCAGACAGATCGGCTTTCTTGCAGACGTTATTTATCGAAACAACACTCCCGGTTGTCTGTTGAAACTCTTAGATTATGTGGGTTATCGCTTGGGTGCGGTTCTATCCAATTTCTCTGGACAACAAAACAGAAACATTTCAAATGGTATTTGATTCTTCTAACTTTCTATATGCGCCCTATAATATTGTCACAGGTTTTATATGACGCTCTGTATTTATATTAAGCGAAAATATATATGTGGGGTGTTAACTGTTGTTTTCTGAATGTGTACGTCTGTATAACGGCCATTAATTTACCTGTGTTTTTTTTTCTTTCAGAGGAAAAACAAAGTAGCTTCACCGCTGCGGCAAGAATAACACGGCCACATCATATGGAACCAGGGAATGCTTCTGGCATCATGTTTTGGGTTGCTGTTGGTGTCTCTCAAATTATCGGCATCATCTGCATTGCCCTAATCATTCACTTCGCCAATCTTTATGGAGGCTTTGGTTGGAGTAGCGATCCAAACTTGCAGTTCTCTTATCATCCAGTACTTATGGTGGTTGGTCTGATCTTTTTTTATGGCGACTGTGAGTATAGTAACATTTATATTTCGCAGCCTTTTAGTTAATTACACAAGATTAGCTAAGATTTAACGGATTAAAATAATATTTCATATATAGTGAAGTAAAAATTATTTAAAAATGAATGATGGATGTTATCGTACAATAAAATTGTTGGGCAAGTTGTTCAAAGGTTCATATTGTAAAATATATATATTATGGCCGAATCCAGAAGTCTAGTTAGTAAATGCTGGACAAAGCAAATGTGAAATAATTTTACCAAAGCCCTAAATAAGCAATTATTTCACACAGTTCGTTGAAGGTATGTCGATACATGGATTGCGTTAAAAAAATTTCAGGCTTTTATAGCTGGGTGCATTCTTTTGTCAAACGACGGCATGTTGTTTGTCAGTTAAGATAGACATTTTCGAAGACTTAGCTGAACGTATTGACTGGAAAACAGGCACCTGAGCGAGAGTGCCATCCTGAGTATAACAACGTTGGTGGTATTGGCCATAACTTTTCTTTTGACTAACACACGAAAGACTTCACAGAATAGAGAGAAGGGCGAGTCTTAGCTCATGCGATGTGCTTAAAAGCAATCCCGGGGCGCTAAATCCACTTCCGTGCTAAATCATGATGATGTAACTATATAGGGAACTACTGTTCATCTGTGGATGATAGAAGATTGTGTGGAAAAATAAGCAATCAGTGGTTGATAGAGTCATTAATTCGTTTGAAAGTCGTAGCGCTACATCGGTGCAGTCGAGCTGTGTGAAGTCGAAGTCCAAAATGGTGAGTATAGTATGATGAAGGCATGTTTCAAAGGTGGAGAAGGCGAGGTTTCTATCCGGATCAGCTCAGGTTCAATGGGGAAGTTGGAGATGAAGCACAAATTCATGCAAATCAGGCACTGGTTAGTGGGTAGGGAATCTTTCAGAATCATATTTAGATTTTGATTAAATGACCGAAACATACAAGGAAGGGGAAATAAATAAAACATAAAAAAATTTGATTAAATAATTAAAGATTACAAGAAGATAAAGTTTTTAAAATTTTAAGTGGAGCGAACCGCTCCAAGACTTTTTCTGTTGCTTTGGTCTTTAAAATTATAGTTCATTAAAGCAATACTATAGTAATAGAATTACTATTAACTTAGTGGATCTTTTCTTGAAGAATTTTTAGCAATCTTTGTTGTGCATTTACCTGTATTATCTACATTCAGTTCATTGTGGATGACGTCACTGCGTATGAACGAGTGGCGTTTGGCAATTTGATTTGTAGGTCCCCTGGGACCATTGGTGAATATGAGCATATGAACCAGTGGCCTTTAGGTAAGTTACATTTCGTATTATTTGTAGTTTCTTTAAAGTAGCATTAGAAAGGTAACACCAGACGATACAGGCATAGGTAATAAATCGACGCAACGTGGTCTTATAAAATACGAGTAACCTGTTTTCTTAGAGAGAGAGCGCTGAGTTTCGGGCGATAAAGGGGTAAACTTTAGAAATGCCTCTTCATAACAAAGTGGCGTTTGCTGTTGATATCTGGCTGTAATATTTATAACATATTTCACGCACTGCCAGAGCTTTCGTGAACTCTTTGTAAAAACTGCATCTTTTATGTTTTTAAATTTTTTAACTTTTTATTTTTTTCCCAAGTTCATTTATACTGATTCTTACTTTATAAATGTTTGTCCTTTTTCATTATTTATCATTGTTCTTGCGTGATACTTGAGCTGTTTTATATGTTTGGATTGATCTTTCCAATAAAGCCATATGTAACAACATATTTCAAACACCTGATTATTTCTAAAGATATTAAATTAATTTTTTTTTTCATATTTGCGTCGGTGTATTTATTTCATTGGGTAAGTAAGTGTTTAGTTGAGATAACTTTCATTGTTCACAGATTTCTCATAAAGAAGTAGATCTGCATAACTTTCGTTCTCTCTTCCTAATTGGCGAATAGCGCGCTTTGGTCAGTAATCATTAGAAACCATTACTTGTAAATTATTTATATATTTTTTCTATGAATTATACAAGATTCTTATTTATTTAGAATGAGTAAATATTCTAATTTCACGACAAAAATCCTCAAAAATTTATTCACTGCATTTTTTTTTCTTTTTGTGAATAACATTTCATCAGTGTCTTTCACTTTGCTGCCACCATAGATTTTAGCGTTAACCCTTTGCAGCACAGTATGTCCGGTCTGGACGCACCTAAAAATTTCCTTCTGTACGCACAGAATAATTGAATGAAAAAGTATTTATCGGTTACTATAGGTTACTCTGAAAGTAGACGGCAGCTCAACACAAACCAGTCCGTATATTTTAGCCGTGTTTAGTTTTTTTAAGACCCTCATTTTTCAAAGAAATCTTCCAGATTTTTTTAGGGTATAAAAGGAATTGTTTGAAAAGAAATTTCTATGTTATTTTTTGGGTTGTATGCTAATCTCCTTATTCTATATTAGTTTTAAATTTTTACCTTGAAATCTTGCCTAAAATCAAACGGCGAACCCTAGGTGGCCCAGACCAGGCTCACCGATAATCAAGGACAACTGAGAGTCTGTATTCTTTGTTTCTCCGCATCTCATCTGTCAGTTCATTGACAACAATGCTTGTTTCAGCACTCTTTTTCGAAGCTCTATTAAATCAGTGTGCCACTTTGGGCACACCCACAGAATTAAAATGATAAGTGGAACCCACAGAATTAAAATGATACTTCACAAAATTTTACTTGTGTGCTCCTCTAGGCCTAATTAGACTGCCAACTTTTTTTTTTAAATCAAAACTCCGACTTTATAAGGTAGCGCGCCGGAAAAGGGTTAAACAAGGAGGAAATCAAGATACCTCTCCTATATAATATTCCAGTCAACCGTTGTGCTATGATTCATTTGAAGTAAGTTTTGTTTCGCAAAATTCGAGACGGTCAACTCCTGACACCATAAGTCAATGAATTATGCGTCAGTAATGAAAAGAATACATGTTCCAGCAAACTAACGTTTGTGTTCGGTCATCTTTTCTTCTAGTTTTGCTTTTAAGCCTTTGACTTAAAGGCGCATTTTAATTTCATAAGATGTTTATTCGAACGCTTTTTTTAATGTGTGTGTGAAGAAAATTTTCTTGAAAAAGCAAAATCGTAGATTCTTCATTTCTTTCAAAGTCGTGGAATACCTTGCAGTTGGGGAAGGGGCTGATTGCAGTAGGCTCCGCTTATGGGGTCGCTTTTTGTCGAAGACTGTTTTGATAACATTAATCGATGAGAAAAAATATCCTTCAAAATAGCTAATTTTAAGCTAAGTAATTTAATATAAACATAACTTGAAACATAAAGGATACGTATTTTCACAGTATTATAGTTAAGAAAAGTCATGATTAGTGGAATGTCTGCAAGTGTTACGTAAATGTTCACTTATGTACTGTTCATAATGCTTCCAGAAATTATTTGACTGATGTTGTACGCCTAATACTGATATTCATCTTTATCTCAGCATTGTCGGGAATGGGAGAAACAGATTTCGTTAGTTTCATCTTGAGTTTATAACGTGATGTACTTGAATTTGTTTCATAAAGCAACTGGAAAAACTTGTAAGAAACGAGAGAATCACTAGAATGAGTTCTCTTGGCAGATGGAGATCAATCAGTTTAGCTATGAGTCCGTCATGCCAGACGCGGTTGAAAGCTTTCGCCACGTCCAGCATGAGGAGAGCGATATTGAGCTTGGAGTGGAGAGCAGCTCCTGTAAATTCCGTGATTCTTAATAATTGCTTCGTGGGTGGAAAGATTTGCGCGAAAGCCAAACTGCTCAGGGAGGAGAAGGCTAAGATAGGGTTTTAATCTATTGAGTAAGGTTCGTTCATACACCTTTCCTAATTCAGGTAACAAACTGATGGGGTCTGTAACCATCAGGTTGAGTATGATCTTTTCCAGGTTTAGGTATGAGGATGATCTTGGTCGTTTTCCAATTAGTCGGGAAATAAGAAGTAGATAAGCAGGCGTTGATAATGCTGGTAAATTTGCAAATGATATTTTTTGGTAATGCACAAATGGCTCTGTTTGAGGTATTGACCGTCCTGACTTTTTCTTATTTAGTTTATGATGTTCATCACTTTAGTGGGAGTAGTTAAAGGGATGATATTTCTGACTCATGGAGCATTTAACCAGTCTCTCACTTTCATTAAAGTAGTCAATTCGAATTCAGGGTCCGCTGGCCAACCGTTTGGTTGGAACTGCTTGAAGAGGTAGGTAGCAAATATATTAGCTTTGTCGCTATTGACTACTGCGATTTGATTGCCATACTGAAGTGGGCGATTACTAGGAAAATCGGAATTAAAATTTTTTTTTTATGAGATTCCAAAATGAGCCATCAGTAATGTTCAAATTTAGTATTTTCTCATGCCACAATTCCTCTCTGAACTCTTTGATAAGACGTTTAATGTCTTTATTGAGGCGATTTATAAGTTTTTTAAGTGCAGGATCCCATGTAAGATGAAATCGTTTGCGGAGATGGTTTCTTTGCTTCATGAGCTGCCGGATATTAGAAGGCAGTCGATAGATTTTATCGTTACTATCAATAATTTCAGTAGCATCTTTGATTGCATTTTGGATGAAATTCGTAAGCTTTTGCACGGCACTATCAATACCGGTAGTAGTTCTGACGTTGTTAAAGTTCAGACTACTAATTTTAACACGTTTTCAAACATAATCCAGTCCGTATTTAATTTCTAGGGTGGTTGGTTCGTGTTAAAAATGCCTAGTGTCACAATCACAGGGAGGTGATCGGAGGAAACTTCCAATTACATCCAAAGCCATGGCACAGTCATGTTGGTAAGAACAATGTCCAGTATATCGGAACGTTCAACTCTGCTGGGTCTATATGTATGTATAATCCGAAGGCGAGTGAAGCACTATGGGTCGACTACTAATAAGGCGATGTAAGGTATCTCCATTGGGATATCCTCTTCTGCAGTTCCAAGCCAAGTGCTTGGCATTAAAGTCACTTGCCGCAATGGTAGGTGAATCAATAGGAAAAAGTGAGTCTAGAAAATTTTCATTCAGTCTATTTTGTGGCGAGTTGTATAAAGCACTAAAATACACAGTTTTAAATGACGGGAGAGTAACAGCAATTGTGAATACTTCACAGCTCTAAGTCCTATTTACACTTATGAGGCATGAAGGAATATTCTTTTTTACGTAGATCATTACACCACCTCCGCGGTGGCTGAGTCGATCACATCTATATGATCGATAATTCGGAATATGTAGACCATAACACGCTTGCGCGTGAGTTTCCGTGATGAGACCAAGATCTAAATCATGTTCGATAAGGAAGTGCTGCAGTTCATGCAGGTTGGAAGGGAAAGCCCGCAGGCATTCCAGACTTTCGAAACGGATGGGAGTACTTTGCAGGACTTATTTATCCATGGAGGGTCGTATTTGCTGAGTTCTCAGGTTGTGATGGTTGTTATTAATTGATTGATTAAGAAGGAGGGCTAGACCCGATTCTTTGATAGCAGCAACAAGCATTCTTATGTCTGTCAGTACTTGTTTAGCTTCACTTACAGCTTCGGGGGCTAGGCCGCCATTTAAAGCTTGGGAGTAAGTTTTGTTAGTGACGACTATACATTTTTGCCTGCTGATGGGCTTTGGGCTTCGGGAACTTCTCACATCCACGAAAATTGGCTGTGTGACCTTCCTGAGAACAGTTAGCACACTTAGGGGGTGTAGACTTATCTTTTTTGCACTGAAAGAACTGATGAGATTCACCGCAGCGAACACATTTGGGTTCATGAAAACAATTCATCTGAGAGTGATGGAACCCCTGGCAGCGGTAGCACTGCAGAGGCCCAGCACGTCCTTTGTATTGCTCGATTTGCACTTTCATTCCAAGAATGAATTTTTCGTGAGAGAATGACTTATTCTCTTCAGTTCTATCCAGAGTAACAAGGAAGAGGGGGAGTTTTGTAATATCCCCATTCCTACGTCGTGTTAATTGATTTACACGAACCAGTTTTATATCCCATCGCGAAGATTTCCTCGGAAATGTCCTCAGTTTTTATGTAAGCAGGAAAGTGTTTGGACTCAGGTAATTCGTAGCAGTGGTAGAATACACCCTTGTCTTTAAGTACTTTCACAATTTGTCGATAAATGGTGGAGATTTTGGCCTGTATTTTCACTCCGTCTTGAATAGTTTGACTGTAGTAGTCGTGCAGAGAGAAGTTATTTCGGCTTAGTAGCTTTCGGATGTCCATCCAGTTGTATTTACTATCTTTAATAATTATTGGTGGAGGCTTTCTTCCACTCAAGCTGTGATTGGCTGCCAGTTGTAAAGGTACAGCATCACCATCGTTAGCAGGGCCGTATCCATATTTTCCGAGCTTTCGCTAGCCGGATGCGTTGGTAGCTGTAATGCTGGCGAATCAGTGTCGTCAGATGGATTTGGTTTTCGGATAGGCTTCTTTATTCTTATGGTAACATTTGGTCTAGTATCCGAATCACTGGAATTTTCATCTAGAGCCTTGTACCTGTTTTTGTTTTCATCATCGGAGCACGCAGGACTGCTTGCCTTACGTGCGTTGATTTTCGACTGTCCAATTTTGCGAGAAGTTGTTATCGTAAGTTGAAGCACTTGCCGGGATGTTCGGTCTAGGAATTTTGGAGGATCTTTCCTGGAACGATCTCGTTTTCAATAAACAGTTTTAGTTTCCTAAAAAATTGCAGATCCTTTGAATCCTTATCATTGAGTGGACCATGAGCTTCTTCAATACACTAAAGATTGGTGATCTCCGTGCTGATAAAATTGAGCATACGCTCCATGATAAAACACAGAGTAAAGAAAATAGTCTAAATCAGAATTACTGCACTGGCCGCCTACTTTTACTGAGCCAGGCTTATCTGATTAGTCATAGTAAAAGTCGTCAACACAAGGTCAATACGCAAGTAGTAGAAAAGAACGTAGCAAGAGATAGGAGCGAGGGGACTGAACAGTAGTCCTTAACTTCTTTGGAACTGGATTTAAGCAATAGTCAAACAGAGGATGTGTGTATGACGGGAAATGACTGTCTACAGAATCATTTATTTCGCATTGGACTAGCTGATTCGCCGTTGTGTGTTTTATGTAATAGTGGACGGCCAATGACTGCGAAACACTTGGACGAGTGTGAAGCACTGACAAATTTTTCGTGGTAGATTTCAGCGCTATTGGCAAGCAAGGAGTTTAATGGCTTAACGGCCAATGTAACTGGCATTTGACAAATAAATAAAAAAGATCCAGCAATCAGATGAGGCACGTAGATGCATTAAATTTTCGAAGTTAGTTACTTTTTCTCGTAACGAAATGTTAACTAGCATCGCTGCCGCTCGGGAAGAAAATGAATATATAAGAAAGCTTAAGTGATTGATTGAGAATAGCGAAGAAAATAACTGTATAGTGGTTAATGGCGTTTTATTCAAGTATGAAAATGGAAGGCAGCTTTTGATTGTACCGCAAGGCCATACATAAAATATATTATTCAAAATGTCCATAGCAAAGGTAAGTTTATAGCAGCTAAGATGGAAGAAATTTTTAGCGACTTCCATAGGGTCCTCTTATGCAATAGGAAGTGTGGGAAAAGTGAAAGCTTCTTCATTAAGCACTTATCATACTGTCTTCATTGGTTCGCTCTCATCAACTAACAAGAATTATTCACGGTAGAGTATATTCGAGGTAATTGACGCATATACTAAGTTCAAGTGGTTTTGTCGGTTATGACATCTCAAGATGCAGTAAACAGATTAAAATTGCAACAAAATGCATTCGACAATTCCTGAAGAATTACTCTCTTTTAAAAGACCAGCTTTCTCTTCAAAAAGTTTCAAAGGCTGTTTGCTGTGCAAGATTCTATCTAGCTAAATTAACTTTACTTCCCTATCTCCTCGAAAAGTTTCAATGGCTGTTTGTTGTGTAAGATTCTAGCTAAATTAACTTTACTTCCCTGGATAGATCTTTTGCTTGAACTGTGAAGCGACTATTGGCTAAGCTCAAATTTTAGCTAAGCCCTTCAGTCGTATTTAGATCCATTGGACGTGAAGATTATCTCATGCTTATTTTCCAAGCATTCTTATCTTCCACAACGTTTCTAAAGAAATACTTCCTTTGCAATACTTTAAACTTCCCAATACAATAACTGCTGACTGCGAAACTTAATGGCAGTCTTCTTTATTTATGACACATGCGAAAAGTGTAAAATCGATCTTTAGGGAAGGGGCTAATATATGATTTTGGAAAATTCGGATTTTGAATGAAAAAGCATAAAAAGTCCAGAAATTGAAATCGTTAGACTCAAATTTCTTGAAAATGGGGTTAAACATCTTATGTGGAATTGAAAAATAACGAGCTTTAATTGCTGTATTTATTTATGTATTTATGCTCCATTGACAAAAATCAAATAAATTGCTGAAAGCTTTATTACGAATCAAAGAATGGATAATATATATAAGTTTTATATGAATAATCTAATAATATAAAGTACATAAAAATGTTGACTTTAACTCACTTTCTCTCAAAATCGTCAAAGGTAGAGATGCGCTAAGGCCCATCTGAAGCCTTCCTGTATTAAGAATAGTGCTATGTAAACGTCTAATGCATTTTAAATCATCCCACTGAGACATGAATGCAATTTAAATTTCATTGGTTGTGAAAAGTTGTCTATTATTTAAGCTCTGTATATTGAGAAAATAAGCATCACCGGGAAGTTCTGAAAACCAGTCTACTTTGCAGGAAACTTTCATAAAGAAAAACTACGAACATTTAATCATCACACTGCAGTCACAATATTAGGCAAATGGCAATTTAGTGAACTATTCGAATCTAGTTTAGTAGATCTGCTCTTCCTTGGTTGAAGAACTACATATTATAATTACAAGCGCAAGGACATCATCTTCTTTTGGTGTCGTAGGGATAATGCTTGCGAAAATTAAGATTAAAGTAGAATTAAGCAATGAATAATATAAGAATGTATTGTTTAACTAGTGCACAATTCAAGGATAATTTAAACAAAAAAAGGATCTAAGGATTATTTAAAGAGAAGCAATGAAACCACATTCTTTAGTGAAGGCTTACTGGTAGAATTCCGGAAGGTTAGTGTCTACTCACTTTCTTCCCTGACATGAGTTCGGAGCAATCGTATGCAAATGTCTTACCATTTTACTGACTTTAACTAGTGATTCCTAAAAGACCCTTTTTTTATGAGGTTATTAGTTTAAGTCATTAAATGCACTGCTCAGTCGAAAGTCCTTTGTTCCTTATTTTCCTGAGAACGCTGAGGTAAATGTACGAGTACCTTGTTGTACTCTTAAAAAAATGCGATCAAGCCATAGAATTAGGTTTACAAAATTCTGTCAGATTCTAGACATCTCGCCTGTCTATTAAATAAAGACATTTGCAGGAAAATGTAAAGTTTATTTCCTTTAGTGTTGAGTTTATTTTTTTTATTTGAGAGAATGTGAGTTTATTTTTGACGTTAAATAAACTGTCTCCAAATACCCTGTTCAAAATTGATAATCTTAGGATTAATATCACTTCTTTAAAATATGAAATTATTATGTAACAAATTTGTAAATACTTCACATTTTTATTACATTGTTTTTTCTCCTCCGACAGCCATTATAGTATACAGAGCTCTCAGTTTCTTACCTAAACCGACTCTGAAGATCATTCATGCTAGCCTTCACTTTTTGGCCTTCATATGCTCCTCTATCGCTTTAGCAGCTATCTTTGAAAATCACAGAAGGAAAAGTCTAGCTGATTTGTATTCCTTACATAGTTGGGTTGGTCTAGCTGCATATATATTCTTTTGTCTTCAGGTAAGTGCGTGTTTGTTGTTTGTAATGTTTTGCTGCTGAAGAGAGATTTCCAAAAATAAACTATCTCAAATTTTCGAAGGATTTTCAAATACTAGAAATCGGCAGATTGATTTTTAAAATGTTTAATTGATTCTTTTATATAACTCTCACCCTTTTTATAGAGATGTTTTGTATCAAAAATGAATTTCTAAATAATGGATTAATAGTTTTAATTCAATATTAAAGCTGACAAGGAAAGGAAGCATTTACGTAATAGAAATTTCCATTGCAAATTTAATCTTATAACTTTTTTGGGGAAGGGAAGGGATGCTGCTTCTGATGCATTTAATTTTTATATGGGTAATAAGCATCGTTAAGAAATGGCTGGATATGTTTAACTTCATGAGGGTTTAGCTGAAAGATTTTATCGAGAAATTCGGTCTTTTCTTGAAACTGGTTCGTATTTGTGAGTTCTTTAGCAACTCCTTTATCCTGATGAACGTTAGATAAAAAAATAGCATAATTGAGTTATGATCTGATAATTTATTGAGACTGCTGTATAATACAGTACAAGGTCCTTAATCGGGACGTCCATTATCCGGAATGATCTATAATCCGGGACTCAAAGCCACAAACTTACGCATGCGCGTAAAGCATTTGCGCATGCGCATAAAGCGTTTACCCATGCGCACATCTGATAGTGAAAAAAGTGACAGAGAGGTTATTGAAAACGAAAACATTTCGATTGACAAGTTAGTCGGTATTCTCGACACAGCAATTACAGGACTTGTACAGTGGAACTTTGTAACTGAACAAGAAATTATGTCTGGTAATAGAATTAAAGAGAAAGTATTAGCACAAAAAACGAAGCAACTTAAACAACTTACATTGAAAGAAATGTTCAATAAAGTAAACAAATAAATATTAAGCTCTTTTTTTTTTGGTAAATTTTGATACCCTTTAGATCATAATTGCTCTTTATTTCATAAATTACGGTTCATATTTTTTTATTTTTAAATTTCTGATGCCATCTTACCAGATTTAAAATGATGATCTATAATCCGGAAAAACGCCTAATCCGGAATCGCCGAAGTCCCAACGAGTCCGGAATACGGACTTTGTATAAGGAATTTTAAAATGCTTCCTTTACTTTTATCTGCAGAAGGTAAGAAATTTTCACTCAACGAATAAATAGCTAAGAATATTAAGTACAGCTAGAGTTTCTGTGTAAGATTCATAGTTTCATGAAAAACTGCTGTTTAAATTAGATTTATCAAGACTTTTAAGATAGTTATTGTCTTAAAATCTCTTTATTACAGAAAAGACATTTTAGCTATCTCAAGTTAATGTGTCCAATTCAGTCAATCAGATATTGCACGGGAACTTTGAAATCAGTGATATATCATGTTTGGTAATGCGCTATATTGAATTTGAAGATTAGGTGCGCAATTCATTTCCAATTTGTGATTACATAGAGTGTTCCAGAAATCAAATGCCGTTTGAAATTTTATAGAATCTCCTCAAAATGGCCCCATTTGTTTACGACACATAGATCCAATCGGTGCTGCCAATCCAATAACGGCATTCGATGAATGTATGGTCAATCTTAAAAACAAACGTGATGGGTAATTTTTTCGAAGAGCTGTGAATAAAACCTAGATGTAACCCTGAAGTTTTTTTAGATGGTTCTCTAATTGAAAAGTTAGTGCTGAGTTATATATAGAATCGAAATAAGGTTCCATCGGATTCCTATCACAATTTTGATCGCTGGGAAATAAAAACGTTAAAAAAAACTTGCAAAAAATGCCTACATGGCATTTTGAAATGTAAAAAAAAGATTATCTACTTATTTTCGATTCATCGCAATACATAAGCTTGTATCAACGGTTCTGCCATTCTAGAGGCATTGAGAGAATGCCCATTTTAGTGTCATATCGTTCTAAAGAATTGCGTTGTCTGAAATATTGACCTCATAGAACTACGTAAAAAAAAATAGCCACAAGTCAACATTAAAAACGTATCAAAGCAAAATAGTTATAGCAGGAAGTGGATCTATTTCTATTTGTATTTTGATCTGCAGTCAAAAGTCTTTAATCCGGACGTCCATATTCCGGAGGCTACAAACTTTCTGCGCATGCGTCAACGCATGCGCATAATACGTTTACGAATGCGCGTTTAATGTATAACACACGGTATAAGCTAAGCTAAAATTATGTAATTATCTATTTCAGTTAATGTTGCAGATTGCGTTGTCCCTTAATCTTCGAATTGGATCCGACTTATTATTTTTTGCAGACTGTTAGAGCAGTTTTATAAAAGTAACTTGAACTTTCGATTATGTCAAAAAGGATTTCCGATTCTGGAGCTACCAAAGGATCTACAAAGCGAAAGCATGTTTCAATGTCCATCAAACAAAAAGTGGAATTGCTGCAAAAAATGGATAAAGGCCATATCCTTGATTCTCTAACCATTCCGAAATCTGTTTATCAATTTCACGCTGCTCTGCGCGGGTGGGGGAGACGCGGCGCGCAATGAACTGGAAGTTGATCTGTCAGCACTATCCTTATCTTCAGGGCAGATGTTTTTATTTTATTCGGCTTATAATTCCTTACTAAATGTAGTATTTCATCTCGATGTACTCCGTCTTTGATATGATTTAAATCAAATTCCTCGTCATTATAAATATCACGAATACACATCAAATAGTTTTCTGGTTGCAATTTTCTAATTTCGACTATGCGTAATGTATGCTTTTTGCATGCGCGCGTTGAAAGAAATGTTTAATAAAGTAAACAAATAAATATTAAGCTTTTTTTTTTTGTAAATTCTGATACCCTTTAGATCATAATTGCTTTTTATTTCATAAATTACGGTTTCATATTTTTAATTTTTTAATTTCTGCATGCGATCTTACCAGATTTAAACTGATGATCTATAATCCGGAAAAACCGATAATCCGGAATCGTCGAAGTCCCGACGAGTCTGGATTAAAGACTTTTGACTGTATTTCCTTAAGTGACTTGATCATGTAACTAAATGCATTTCCACAATGTAGAATCCAGCCTTTTCTCTGTTTTTCTGTGTGTTTTTATTCTAACTTGGTGCCCAAATGTCGAAGTACTTGCATATAACACAGCATTGACAGCAATTCATGGGAGATGATGCTTAGATTAATGAGGAAAGCAGCCAACCATGATCCTGACTTTCAATTTGTTGGTTTACCCTCTTTTTTTGCTGCAGATTTTGGCTTATACCATTCAAAAAACGAGGATAGGCAAAAACGACGAGGGTAGGCAAAAACCCGAACTTCTTTGCTCAAACGACATTGTGCCAAATTATGGAAAATTGTGCTTACACTATACCACAAGCTGTACTGTCGCGGATGATATTACTTGGTGTAGTTCTTCTATGGAGAACTCTCTTACAGCCAAAGTCAGGTAAAAATTAAACATTTGTGGCCTCACTTTCCTGTGGAAGTTTTTTAACATGAAACAGTAATATACTATGATGAGAATGATGCTGAAATTATGTATAGCTTGAAGGTCGATATCTCGTTCATATTCATTAATCGATATATTCGGTATTAAGAAAAGCTAAATTTGCTGCCGAAAAAATATTATTCATTAGAGTGACAGATACAGCTGCCATAACTCATGAAATATCAAAATATGGTATTACTGATCGTATCATGCATCATGTTATGTTCTTGTTGTATCTTCACGCTTTCCACGATAATGCATAATGAATTTTACAAATTAATCTTTTATTATGAATCTTTTTTAGTTATTTAATATTTTATTTTTTCTTTTATAGTACCTCCTTGGTTTTGTAACTTTCTTATTCCCTGGGCTTCCAGCAGATTTTAGAGCAAAGGCGTTGCCTTTTCATACTTTCTTTGGAGTCGGTATCTTCATTCTATCCATTGGAGCAGCATTAATGGGAATGACAGAACGTCTGCTGTGGACAACGTAAGAACAATTAAAAAAAATCTATGAAATTACCAATATTTACTCAAGTGTTGAAAGATAGGGTTAAGTGAACAAACATAGTCTATAAATGTTTCCAAATATGAAAATCTGATACACAGATTAAGAAAGAGTATCAAAGTATCAGTAGCAAATCAAACAACACATAAAATGCGTAACAGTTTTTATTACCTTCAAAATACAGGATTATTCATAATTTTGGAATCCATAAATAATGTAAGCTATGTCAAATTTGAATATGCTGAAATAAAGACAATATTATTAACAGCATTTTCCTTTCCCATGCTATAATTAACAGAAATATAACATTCACATGTTATTTTGAAAGAGTTTAATCTGGATAATAAGTTCATCATGTTATGTAAATTAAATCAATATTCTTTCTCATTTCTCCTGATCTGAATCTAAGCTACGTCAGGCCCCTATATTCTATCATATCCAGAAAGCAAGGGTTGCAGCTATTATTGATTTAGGTTTTGGGAATATTAGAAATTTGCCCAACTTCATCCTATTTTTGAAGGGAATTCTCCAGAGTTAAGGATCATAGTCTTCCTCCAGCCTTTGGAAAGAACTTTATTATCATGTTCAACAGGGTGGCTGTGTCTTTCTTCCTACTCTTGTCATCATCTGCTGTCACTAGCATTAATACACGTATTTTTCTTTTTCTCTTATTTTTCTTCGGCAGTTTTGTTATGCGCTAAGAGTTTGTGATAATTTTCCATCATTATGCAATAAACAATTTTTTTCTTTAAAAAAAGGCAGGGCTCTGTTCATTTGCCCCCTGGTAATCAAGTGTTGGCTTCACAAATGCTTACTTTGTCCATCTTTCTAGTAATCCATTTGAGCCCACATCTGGTCAGCCGTGATAAACCACGGTAGTGATACACTGCGAAAATCTTGAAGATCAGTAAGGAGTGGAGTTAAGAATAATCTTGATCCATAATAAAGTCGCTTTGATGTGTTTTAAAATATTGCTCAGATATATAAATAACTTTTTGGGAGGAAAGAAGGGCGAGATTTTATCCTGATAAAGATTTATCAGGACAGAAATTATATTTAAGTAAAATTTAATTTCTCTGTTAATAAAGATTAACATTCATGATTAATGAATATATAACCTACATTTTGAGATGTTACTAAATTTTTTATTGCAGAAATGTAATAAATTCGACATAATAATCATAATTTTTTTGTAATTGATAATTACAGCCCACTCGCAGCTGAATGGGAAATTCAATGAATACTGGTAGTTCGACCTGGGTTCAATTCCAGGAGAACGGACTGGCTGCGTGGGCGTTTTTGTGGTTTTCTCCATGTGTGACATGGATATGAGCCATTTTCCGTTAGAAAGTCCTCCACGAAGCCCTTTGCTGATAACCCTCATGTAGTTTGCAGTAATCAAATAAATCAAACCAACCAAGCTAAGAATTATCACGCTGTTCTCAATATTATATTCACAATTTCTCTTGTACCTAAAGAAGGCTTATACATAACATAATCTTTCTATTGGATTTAATTGTGTATTCTAAATAACCTATTAGTCTCTGTTTATTTTAAATTTAAGACTTGATAAATTATAGTATTTGTCTTGCGCATATAAAAGAAAATGAATGATGGAGGTTAAATTCAGTTTTCTTTGTATATTAAGGATTGTTCATGTACATTATTTAAGGTATTTGTAATTTATTTAATAATTTTCTACTTTTAGGAACTATACATCAGGTAAATACACCAAAGAGGGTGCTACTGGAAATACATTTGGCATATTCGTGATAGTGTTTGGATTTTTAATAGTCTTTCTATCAACACGGTCATCGTACAAGCGGAAACCTCTGCCAGATGAAGTACCTTCAACAGCAATGAATTGAAATAATTTTGGGCCTAGTCACAGAAACATTATTCAGATTAAGCAGCTTTTATTTGCATGTACTGAGTTTTTATTGACTCACAATAATTAGAACTTTACATTGTGTTTGAGAAATATATTGACTTTTAATAAGAGGCTCGAAAGTGTTTCAACACCTCTTTTTGCTCTTAAGATCTATGTGTTAACAAACTCATTGTATTTTAACCATTTTGTATTTTCTCCTGAAAATATTATATAAATTTGAAACTTTCTTTTAACTGAAATTTGCAATTTTTTTTTTTTTTTTTTTTTAATATTACCTTTGTATTCTGTAACGTAATTTGAAAGATGGGAAGAAAAATTACACTTTCAAGCTATTTTGAAGATTTAACCCAAAAAGGCTGTTTAGAGATTATGAATAGAGATATACCAAATGGAATAGCCAAACATTTTGTAGGATACTAGCTGGATATGCATATAGACCCACATGGGAACGTTATATCTTCTGTGTAGTATTTAAAAAGTGAAAAGACATAACGCAGTTCTATAAAAATATTTACCGTAATTTCCGGAAGAAACGCCGCGGCGTTTACGTGTTTAAAACTTAAATTTTCAGCGGGTGCGGTGTTTCTACACATGCGGCGATTAAGTGCACTAAAAATAAAATATTTCCTATGATGGTCATTGTACATAGTTTGGATAGCCTTGTCATTGTGCATGCATAGCCTGGTGCTGTTCCCACACAAAAGACTTTGTGTGGGAACAGCACCAGTCAGTTGCTTTTTGCGAACGTGATTTTGTTTACATTCTTTTCCTTGAACGGACCTACATGCCTTATTCACCCTAAAAGAGATCTCAGAACAATAACATTCTTCCCCCTTTCAAATCAACATTGTCATCAGTTTAAATAGTTTCTTCCCTCTGCCATCGGATGAATCTTCCATTACCCATCCTTTCCCCACCCCTGGCTTTTCTGCAATTTTTTCAAAGGCGGACACGACTCCACCTGCCTCGCAATAACGAACTCTGACGTATTTCCCCTTCAGCATGAATCAATTTTTCTTCGCATTCTGCCAGATACAGATCCCATCAGTTTGGGTACAAGTACTTGTTGGATAGTTTTTAAGTAAGAAGGGAACGGAAAATTTTTGAAAATGTCACCTAAACGGCACAGAAGCTATATAAGCTGGTTTTAAGCTTAATGTAATTTCACGTGCTGAACAAATTGGAAATCGAGCAGCAGCTCGAGAGTTTGAAGTGGACGAGAGATGTGTTCGACGTTGGAAAACTGAAAAAGAACTTAAAAATATGCCACAACATAAACGAGCCAAAAGAAGTGGTACTTTAAGGTGGCCGAATCTAGAGGACGACCTTGCGAACTGGATAAAGGAGCAACGAGGAAAGGGAATGGTAATTTCGACTGTAAAAATTCCCCTACAAGCAAAATTTATAGCAAAACGAATGAACATAAATGATTTCAAAGGAGGTGTAGCAGATTTCTGAAAAGAAAAAATATTTCTGTGCGTACTAGAACAACAGTCGGGCAACAATTACCAATGGACTGGCCAGGATAAAAGGCATCTTTTCTAAAAATATATATACATATATTATTGACAAAAAAAAAAACTTCTTCGGTCACAGATAATAAATATGGATGAAACGCCGTTAGCTTTCGACTCTCCTGCAAACAGAACTGTTGACGAAACTGGTGCGAAAACTGTATCTGTGCTTACGACGGGGCATGAAAGAACGTCATTTACATGTGTGTTAGCTTGTGCCGCAAACGGTGACAAGCTAAAGCCGATGATTATTTTTAAACGAAAGACTATTCCGAAGGGAGATTTTTCTAATGATGTAATTATTTGTGCAAACGAGAACGGCTGGATGTGCGAAACAATCATGCTTGAGTGGCTACAAAAAGTTTGGCAGTGTCGTATGGGATCTTTTTTCCAACCAAAAGGGTTATTGATAATGGATTCCATGCGTGCTCATTTACTTGAGTCAGTGAAAACCAGATGTCAAAAATTGTCTACGACCGAAGCAATAATTCCTGGTGGTTTGACAAAAATCTTACAACCGTTAGATTTGTCAGGTAATAAATACTTCAAAGCTGAAGTCCGGACAAAAATCTTACAACTGTTAGATTTGTCAGGTAATAAATACTTCAAAGCTGAAGTCCGAAAGCGGTGGGAGTGCTGGATGAGTGAAGGATTGCATACGTATACCAAAAGCGTTAAAATGCGTAGAGCATCTTATGAAGAAGTTGCAAAGTGGATAGGAAGTGCGTGGAAATCGGTAAAAACATCGTCAATAATAGCAGGGTTCAAAGAAGCTGAAATTATATCCTTAGATAAAGAGACTGTAAACCAAGAGGATGAATGTGACGATCTGGAAGACTTAGATCAGGATTTACTAAATCTTTTTAATTCAGATGGTGAAGAATCAGATTTTGATGGCTTCATATGATGTATAGTTTGCTGTAGTTTCTTTTGTAAGTAAAATTTAAAATTTCCTTTTGTCATCCAAATTTAAATATTTCGTTACTGCAATTTTTTATAATGTAGTCTGAGTATTACAAATATGGACTTCTTTAGTGGGTAAATATAAGTATATACGTGAAGGTAAATATATTTTCCATATTTCTTACCTTTAATTTATTTTTGAGTTATGGTTTCATTTCATGCATTTTTCTTAACTGGTATGTCATATATCAGGACTTAGGTTGAGATTTCGCATCTATACGGCCCACGGCGATGTCACGCTCAATTTAATCTATTGCGGCGTTTCTTCCGGAAATTACGGTAATATTTTAAATTAAATAATGAATTTTAAATAATGAACTGAAGACATTTTTATTTAATTGAATCAGATTCAGAAGTAAAAAATAATATTTTAGTTTGGTGTCCTTTTATCGGGTGGAAGATTAGCCGAAAGGGAAAATCGTGTACTTTGAGCCGAAATTTCTTCTCTCATGTAAAGGAAGAAACAAAGATTACGTTTTTTCCGTTCGATCATATTTTAAACGAAATTACTCAGCATACAATACAATTTATTTAGATTTGATCTTGTTTAAGAACTAAGAACTAAAATAAATTTGAACTGGAAGGACTAAAACTCTTGTTCTTTGTAAGTTTGATTTGAAAAAAGTCCAGACAAATTAAGTTAAAGAAAAATTAAAATGCGTGGGTTTATAAGTAACTCCCTTCCATAATAAGTGTTAAAAGTAATTAAGTTTATTCATCTAGATTGATATTTCTGTCTTTGACATACTATTAAAAAATAATAAGGGTAAGACAAATGTAAAGCTTTCAAATTTTATTCTTGGCAGATGATTCTTTCATTTTAATTTATGGTTATTTAATTAAATAAAATTTCACGGCAGAAAATACACTCATGTCCATAAATTAAGGATAATTTGGAATCACGCGGAAATCGAATTCTAAAATAAATATATCACCTGTAAAATCACTACAGACATCTTCAACAGGGTTCGTAGCGGTCCTTATAAGTGCTTATAAGTCCTTATATTTGAAAATAAAATATAAAGGCCCTTATAGGTGCTTATTTTTTTCTTTAAAGCCCTTATGTTTTTGTTTTTAGTGCTTATTTTTTGCTTTTAAAGCTTTTTTTTTTTTTTTTTTTTGTTAATGAATGCGCAATTTTCCCCCGTGCCAAAGCCGAAACTAAATAAACAACTTTTCTTCCTAATATGGAATGTCAGATGGTGAATCATCCTTCCGGAAAATAGCTTTTCCCCCTTTCTTTGCATTAACATAAGCTTTGGTGTGCGCAGAGAGTACAGACAGGTGCTCGTCGTTCTATTGGGCAAAGAATTGCGAAAGTGGTAGAAAATTCCGGTACATTCGGGCATTCTTTTCCTCCCACCCAAATACTACACACGTTTGAATTTCTATCAAGATCTTAATAATTTGCATTCTCGTTACGCTTGGTCAGTTCATATTCGTGTTTATTATGATCGTTATGCTTATATTATGAGCATATGTATGAATGTTTAATAACATTGCAGTAACTGCTGAAGTATAGTAAAACTTCCAAAAATGGCTGTGTTTTAACACAGATTAGCTTTCTAAGGAATAATATTCGGAATGACTTAAATAAAGGGAAAGTAATCGAAAAGTCAAAATAATTTAATTTTTTTTGGCCAATACATTATAAAGTACGAAGGTTGGGAGGTTCTCCCCTTTTTCCGCAAAATCTCGAGTATTAAAACTGTTACAGTTCGCTGCAAAACAAGCAACGGGCTTTTTTTTTTTTTTTTTTTTTGTTACTTTCCAATCTGGACTGAATAGGACTAAAAGTTCTGCCGTCTACCAACCCAAGCGAAGAATGATTCTCTTCGGAAATTTTAACGCAGTCTAATGAAAAAAAACACCCAGATTTGTAAGTCTCTTTCTTTTCCTTTTATTCTTTATTCTCCGAATACCGGCAGCTGTTGAATCCCATTGCGTAATATCATGTAGGGAAGAATTACGGCACACGTATTGCACAATAATGTTTGCGATATTTTGCAGAGATAATTAATTTTGATGTTCGTCCGAGATTTGTTTATAAACACTTAAAGGAGTTTTACTGTGCTTGCTAAAGCAGAATATTCTTTCTGTTCCGTTGGTTTGTTTTTATATGATGCACATATCGAATATGTCAAAAGCATTTATTTAGCGGGAAGGGAAAATCTAAAGAACGTCTACAGTCTATCCCCCCCCTCCCTCCGCTCCTCTTTTTCAAGTTTCGCTCGACTGTCCGAATATTTGCCAATTTCCAAGTATGCGAGTTAGTTAAGCTTTTACTGTTAAAGAATGACTGCATGAAGCAAATTTCCGTCTTCTGATTTCAGAAATGTTCCTCTTTTTTTACTTAAATTACTTTGCTTGCAATATCTGTTAAGGAAAAACTGATATACAAGGAAAATTTAGAAAATATTTAGAATTTAGATTTAAATCATTTAAATATCAATATGAGTGAAAAAATAAATTGTATTTATTATTAAGTTCCAAGCGAATATAATAAATATGCCTTATAATTATTTATTTTCTCTATTTTGAACTGAAATTTCATCATTAAATCTTGTAATATAGTTTAGTTCTGCATAGTTTTTTTTTTTCTCTCATTGTAAACTAGTTCTGTAAATTTAACTGTTATTTAAAATTTTAAAAAAAGTAATTATTTTTCATGGTTGAGGTAATGATTATTCTCTTTTAATAAATACTGCATTTCTCATATTTTAAATTACAAGTCTAGTTTTTAAGGTTATGTAGTTGTGTAT